CGAACACAGCAGAATTGAACTTGGGGACAACCCTCGAGATCTGATTCACCCATATAACCTTGGACTCATAATTAGGGTCCTCAAAATAATCCTCTCGATGGATATCCTCTTGTTCATTCACGGCCTCCATGGCCCCAGCATACTCAGTTGGCAAAATGGACACTATTCCACAAATATCCTCTAGAGAATCCTCAAATCCGCTCTCGAAGCAGTCTGTGATCATATCTTCATCATCCTCTAAGAACTTCTGAGAGGATTCCCCTTTTTGGGGTACAGGAATCGAAAAACGATTTCCCTTAATACCTTCAAAAGTAGCTTTCCTCATCCTTTGCTGTCTCCTCCACTGAGTCTTAGTCAGGTTGTTGAAAGGTTGTCGAAAACCGCGCCCATACCCTCCGGTATTAACTCGACTAGGCCCTGTTATGGAGTTTGGCATCCTCCCGGGCACTCCTTGCATCGGGTGAGCAGTATGACTCATGACCTGTTTTCCTCGACCCATACCTCCCATCATCATTGGCCTAGGTGGTGCGTTCCATTTCCCCACAGGCACATTTGCGTTCGGCACGTAAGTATTGCCGAACCTCGAGGAATTATACATCTCCATTTTTCCCACTAGAGCATTGTATTGAGGCATATGAACTTGCCTCATGGTCAATCCTGCCTTCGACCCTTCATATATTTTAGACCTTTCACGCAGCTTCTCAGCTTTGTAGCTTTTCAGCATTTCCGACTCCTTGAAGGCCTTGGCAGCAGCCTTGTCAAAGACGGCACTGCATCGAGGGCACAACATGACTTCCTTGTCTGCTTCTTTCTTCTTGGATAAGAACTTGACCAAACTATCTCCTTCCTTTGGGTAAATGGGTTCCTGTTCCTTGGCAAAATCCTCCATTAACTCTTCGAGTTTCTCATCAGAGATAGGCTCGATGTTTTCATCCTCTTCCACAATAACATCCACCATGTTGACCCCCATAGAGACTGGTTCAGCATATCCAGTATGAGCAGCGAATGGGTCTGTGTCAACTTTCATGTCTTTTTCTTCGAATGCAAGACGACCATCAGTAATCGCCTTTTCGATCAAATCCCTGAAACGTACACAATTATTAGTCTAGTGGTCATACATGCTATGGTATTTACAGAACTTCTTTCCTTTTCTTTGCTCGAATGGTGGAATCTTGTGATTTTTTGGAAGAATAATTTTTAGATTGAAAGTTCATATCACTTTATATGTTTATGAAAAATTTTGTTAAAATTGAACAATAACTTGAAAGTAATCAAAGTATTCATATTTTAGTATATTTTGAAATGTATATATTATGTTAATTTTGTTTTATAAGAATGAAGGATTACTTTCAAGTTATTGTTCAATTTTAACAAAATTTTTCATAAACATATAAAGTGATATGAACTTTCAATCTAACGGTTGAATTTACAAAATTCACATTTAATATAAAGTTATTGAGTGGTGTAATATTTAGTAAAAGTCACACTGGTGTTATTATAACCCTCCTCATAAATAAATAAGTCATATTGTTAGGCTAGAATCAGATATACACTTTACAAATCTTAAGCTTTAGCTCACTGCTCAAATATGTTTTTTAAGAAGCCTAAGAGCAGGTTTGAATGACTTTTAAGAGCTTCTCTACTGGAAAATATTCTTGATTTTCAATATAAAAAAAAAGTTCTCAAAAGTCCTTCTAGATTGTATCCAAATTGACTCTTAAGCCTTGTTTGCTAAATAGTTAGTAGTCTAAGTGAAGGTAAGCTGAAAATAGGTGGCGGCACTGGTTATAGTCTCCTTATTGCCTGACTTATTCTCGTCTCTTATCCTAATCAGAGTTGTTACCTCTAAGATTTTGTCAAATCAATTTTGGTAATTTTCTTCCACATGTTTCATCAGCTTCATATTTTAGGAACACTTTTTACCTTCTCAATATTTTTGTTTAGCGCAGAATTTATACAAGTTTAGGCTTCAGAATCCCCATATTATGTGTAACTAAAACTGTTCATAGATGTTGGACTTTAAACAGAAAATAAAGACTACTAACTGAGAGTAGACACAATAATTATGTAGAAGTGTTATCAATATTAATCCATTAACAACTCTGATTAGGATAAGAGACGAGAATAAGTCAGGCAATAAGGAGACTATAACCAGTGCCGCCACCTATTTTCAGCTTACCTTCACTTAGACTACTAACTATTTAGCAAACAAGGCTTAAGAGTCAATTTGGATACAATCTAGAAGGACTTTTGAGAACTTTTTTTTTATATTGAAAATCAAGAATATTTTCCAGTAGAGAAGCTCTTAAAAGTCATTCAAACCTGCTCTTAGGCTTCTTAAAAAACATATTTGAGCAGTGAGCTAAAGCTTAAGATTTGTAAAGTGTATATCTGATTCTAGCCTAACAATATGACTTATTTATTTATGAGGAGGGTTATAATAACACCAGTGTGACTTTTACTAAATATTACACCACTCAATAACTTTATATTAAATGTGAATTTTGTAAATTCAACCGTTAGATTGAAAGTTCATATCACTTTATATGTTTATGAAAAATTTTGTTAAAATTGAACAATAACTTGAAAGTAATCAAAGTATTCATATTTTAGTATATTTTGAAATGTATATATTATGTTAATTTTGTTTTATAAGAATGAAGCATCAAATCATTTTTTATTAATATAAAATTTTGCATATATGATCTAAGAGTAATTTCCAAATGTTCCTCAATTAATATTAACAGGCAACGTTCAGGCACACAAACAATAATATGAACCGAATGAACACTACATATATTCTCAATACCAATCATGGTTCGTAAATAGTAAACATCACAACATCATTAGAAACGTACGTGAATGAAAATTAAGAGCTTACAAGAGACATTAAACTAAACTAATCCTAATCTACAAAGGAAAAAGAAGAGTGGTCAACAAGCAACCATACCCAAACACGATTCTGTGCACGAAAGCCATATGCGCAGGCGGAGAGTGCTTCAGAGCTCTATTCAAGTATGAGTTTTTCCGACCTCCGTGAAGGTACGTAGCTTCTGTATTTATAGAGCCAATCAAGAACGGTTAATTTCATGCATGTATGCCACTAGGGGATAACCGCTATCCACTATGCTTGTTACGTGACTCTAAATTGTAACTTCCCATAACCGTTCGCCTCATGCTTCAACTTTACTCGATTCGACCCTTAATAACCACCTTAGTGTGCCTTAACTGTTAAGATCCCTTCAATAACACCTCTACAATTTCGAGTTACTATTACATTCTCGAGTTGCTATCGAGACCGCGTTATAGCTTAACCCCTTAATGAACAACAGATAAACTTTCGAGCACTCCTTTGTTCAATTTAATTAATTCTATTCGAATACATTCCCATGTGAACAAATAAGGCTCTCAATTTAATCTTGGTAGGTGTTTAACCTTTATCTTTTGTTTCGAGTAATTTTCACATCCTTTTCGAGTAAGCCTAACAATACTAAAATTTGAACACTTTGATTACCTTCAAGTTGTTGTTTAATTTTAACAAAATTTGCTATAAACATATAAAGTGATATCAATTTTCAATCTAACGGTTGGATTTACAAAATTCACATTTAATATAAAGTTATTAAACAGTGTAATACTTAGTAAAAGTTTCACCAATGTTATTATAACTCTCCTTATATATATATATATATATATATATATATATGTATATAATAAATTAATAGATAAAATAGTAAAAATATTTATTTATTGATTACCTTACCATAAAATTATTTTTAAAATTTAACTTTCACTCTTTATTTTTCCAATTTTCTTTTATCAAACAACTTTTTTTTTTCTACATTCTTACACCTT